CTACCCTGCATCATACAAGTTTTCGACAAAGGCAACAAGGTACAGTATAGGGGATTCACCCGATGTTCCCCAGTCCCTATGTTTGCCAGTCCTGTTGTTGCCAGAAATTCCATGCATAGAGAAGGGGTAGTGTTAGGATTAAAAACAGGGTTGGTACTAAAGAACAAAGGATTCAGGGAATATAGGGACTGGGGAACATCGGTACACGCCCCAGTGTAGAAGCAATTTTGCTTGTAAGATGAAAAGCCAATAGGGAAACATAATGACACTGCTATATGAATATATATATTCAAGTTTGAGTAGTGCTATTGTTAGTCTGATATGCAGACTGATAAGCATTACTTCACTGATGATAAATATATTTTGAGGAAGACTTGACAGGAAATTTGCTTTTGATTTGTTAAGTTGAGGGTTCAACTATATGTACTAGGCTGGTGATATTTTTAATTGTTGAACTTATTAAAAAAGAGTGCTGCATTCTCACCAAATTTTTGGTAATGTTGGTGAATGTAGGTGAATTCCTTTTATGAATGTCGTACTAATGGATTCTAATATTTCGGATCCTCTGTTGGCAAGTACAGTGTCTCTAGGTGACAAGAGATTTAAATAGCCAGAGTTTTCTGTTTTGTACTTGTCTGACGTTCTTCCTCCCCAACCCTTGGATACAAAGGATATGAACCCTTGGGGCATAATACCGATAAGGTATTTGACAGTATTGTGGCTCTTGTACTGTGAGTACATTTGAGCTCTTGCTTTCCGATCACTTGGACATTCACAAAAAACCTTGAAGCAATCAATAATTGAAAAAAAGGTTCTATATGTGGATTTAAAACAGAGTGGCATTGTCTGCCTGACCACTTCTCTATCTGGCCAAAAGAGTAGTGGGGGAACAACATATGAGTACATTAAGTTAAATGTTTCCAGAAAAATTCTCGAAATTGTTGAGTTACTAACACTGAAAACAAAAGCCAAAAATTCATCACTTGGACAGTGCAATTAGGTTATAAGCAATGTAGAGGTTCAATTCTGTATTGGCGGTTTTCTGCCTTGAGCTGAAAAGCATGCATTTGGTTTTGTTTGTAATAGTTCACGTTTGTTTCTTGAGCACCAATGTAGAATTCTGTTAAGCTATATTCAGATTCCTTTCTATTTCATTAATATTGGAATAGCTACTCCTTAGAGTGGAGTCATCTGCATACATATACAAGTTACAATTTGGTGGGATACAGGATGGCATATCACTTGTGTAAATAATGAATGAAAGTGGTCCTAATGAATAAAAGTAGTCCCAATGTGTTGACTGGGTAAAGATCATCATACACATTAATTTTCCGGTGATATCGACAAACATCTATTCAAAATTCATTTTTTACAATTTTCACCTTGCTAGAGGGCGCTACACAATTACATGACGTCATCAGAAGATGATTTGAAGAAATCTATACCCCGCTGACTAACACCAGTGAAAACAACTTGATACCTACTGTATTACCACTTTTAAATAAAGGCCCACTTCCGGTTTTGACCGGAAGGATGGGTTATGTCATTTGACTCTCAGGAAATAAATTGAAGACCAAATTTTACTTTACCTCTCGCAGCAAAAAGAGTGTTGCAGGAGGCAACTGTTGATTTTACAGTTGAACCTCGTTAATAAGAGCACTGTTAATACAAGAGTCTGCTTATAACAAGGAAACTCATACATCCCAATCCTTTGTTTTTCATTGTTTTCATTCCTGTTATAACGAGGTAATTTGCCAAGTCCGAAGGGCCTCTTATCAACAAGGTTTGACTGTATATAGATTTTTACATTAACATAACATTTAAATATTCAAAATTTAATAATATATCACTTGATGATGTCATTGTGACATAGTTATTGAAGTATTATCTTTATTTCAAGGTCTTTGCATAGTGTAACTTTGATGAAATTTGAAGATTGCTGAACAACCAAATGTTGCCTTGAAAAATATGTACAAACATATGGGGAAAATTAAATATTCGAAATTCTATAATACAGTAAAATCTCGATAAGTCGAAGCTCAGGGGAATGGATGAAAAGTTTGAGCAATCCGACGTTCTAGTTATCGAAAGTTACATGCTTCAGTGCACATGCAACCTTACTGGCTTACGGCAGTTGGCCTGCAAGCTGAGTTGAACACAAAGTGGATTTTAGGCTATCCCTACTGTGCCAGTTTTCTACAAACATCATCATTAAACATGTTTTTATGTGGTACATTAATAAACAATAAACCAATGAAGTTATGAACTGGTACCTGTGTCTACGTCTTGAGAATTTATTCATTTGCTTTGCTTGTTCGGGCTGTTGCCGCATAACGCAGCGCGCGGGCCAGTTGGTCAGGGTTTCCGTGCTGGGTCACGTAATACATGTACGATGTGCTTGAGGGCACATCATTCGTGCCTGATTTAGGCTACATCCGAATCTCTTGTCTAGAGCTAAGTCTTGGTATTCACTCCATTGGAAATGCATGGAGACGGGCAGACAATAGACCTAGCCATAGCTGTGGAAGCCCGTTTCGGACACGGCCTTTTTTATTGTTGCGGTTAATGCCCACTCAGTGCTTGTCGACGTGACAATGGCAGCCCGTGTGAACATGCTCAGCTCATCAAAGAAAAGCCATGCACGTGACAGTAATGACTCATAATGAAGGCAAGCGTTCTTTCATCATTTTTTATTCATCGTTCTTCAGTGTTTTTTTTTTTTTAATTTGCATACCAAAACTTCGAGATAAGCGGCTTCAGTGGTATTGACGTTTCGAGTTAGGCCCCAAGTCAAAATAGAAACGGTTCACCAAGCGGGAAATGATTGCCCTTAATTCCCTTTCATACCATTGCCCGATTCAACTGCAAGTGGGCAATGATTGCAAGAGAGCATTTACCGAAAGGGAGTTGGCTATGCAGCAACCTCTTTGATGCATACCACCATTTCCCCCACCCGGGTACAAAAGCCTTGACTCCCAGCTTCCCATGAATGGTTATTGTGCATCGGCTTTGTTGTGTACATTGGGCAAGTTTATCCACAGGCCCAGCACAACTTATTCAGAAAAGCAAAGCAATTAATCTCTTAACAAAAGACTAACTCCATTAGAGTCTGCAGGCCTACGTGTATCACTAAGTCTCTTGTCATTGCGTTAAGATCTTGAGTTTTCCTTCCCAAAATGTAGCACTGTCAGGCAGTGATTTCCACATTACAGATTTGTCAAAGATTGGAATAGACAATAGATGAAATGGAGAGCATTACAGATGCAACAATCACGGGACTTCAAAATCAATCTAAAAATTTACAATAAGAAAAGTCGACTAATGTTGGTAGTTAAGGGCAGTGTAGCAGACTGAAGGAAATAAATATCCATATCCATGTAAACAGTTGTACAAACCCATCCCCAACCCACCCAAAAATTGTTGGCATATCAACGGGCTGGGGTCCCAGCTGCTGATAAACAGCTCTAATGTCTCAACCACCAGCCACAATTGAGTGTAATCCTTAAAGCTCTCTATTGTTAGAAAACATCACCCAGGAGTGGTGTTCATGGAACCACAAGCAATGTAGCTAGTGACTCCCTGTTGTTGCCTGCTTTACTCTGAAGTGGGTAAGGAGCTTACCATTTATCCATCGTTTCCCATTTCATGAACCATTTCTATTTTGATTTAGCGCCTTACGGATAGTTTATTGCACATAAAGGCCTATTCTTTTGTCGGAAATATATAAAGACGTCGAGGTAAATGGAGTTTCGACTTAATGGGCTTCGACTTATTGATATTTTACTGTAAATCAGGTGATGACATCATGACAAAGTCATGATTCAGCACACATGATCAGATGGCAGTCTAACTGTGCAAGGTTTGAAGGGGATCGGCCCTAAGGAAGGGGCAAAAGTCGTGTGTAGAACGACCCAGTGTTATGTCTATAGGCAAAAAGTGAGAAAAGAACTAAAAAAAAAAAACCACTAAGAAAAACAGAAGTGTGTTCAGTCACAAAACTAAAAATAAAAAAAATCAAAAAGAAAAACAAATTTAACGAAAACAAAAGCTAAAAGCCTGGGCTGGCATACATTTTGGTCACAGTCAAACCGTAAATGGGGCATGTGGCTCCTGCCAGGTTATGCATGAGTGGGTACTCGTATGAGACACACTGTTTCTGACTACAAATGACCTCGCCC